TGATTTAATTATTCCATATTGTATTAATATATCAAAACATCACATTGTACTCCATAAATTTAATACAATTATGATTTGTCAATTGAAATAACATTTTAAAAATTACAAAAGAATAAATAAGAAAAGACACTAAAAATGGCTAATATACATAAGTGTGTGCTAGGATCTGAATAGCTAGCCTAGGCTGATTTTAGGAATTCTTATAATCCTAAATTCTTACTCAGTTTGTAATTCTATCTTTAACCTCTATGTATGTGATATGACCTTGCATTTGTCATCATTTCACAAAGTATATACCCAGTGAGGAAGGACCACACAAAAGAAGCAACCACATTTCTCCTCAACTCACATCTGCTTCTGCTGTTTGTTTTGCTTTATTTCAACTCCAAGATTTGTTTACTTGAAGAGTAATTAAGCATGGACATTGCAGAAGAACAAAACTAGACCCCTATCTCTCACCATATACAAAATAAACTCAAAATGTTTAAAGACTTAAACGTAAAAGACAAAACTATGAAACTACAAGGAAAAAAAACAAGGGAAGTGCTTCATAACATTAGTCTGAGAAAGGAATTTTTAAATAAGACCTCAAATACACAGGCAAGAAAAGCACAAGTAGACCAATGTGAACAAGGGAAGTGCTTCATAACATTAGTCTGAGCAAGGAATTTTTAAATAAGACCTCAAATACACAGGCAAGAAAAGCAAAAGACTAAAGTGATCACAACAAAATAATCAGCCACCCCACAGCAAAGGAAACAACAGAGTAAAGAGGCAACGTACAGAATGAGAGAAAATATTGGTAAACTACAAATCTGATGAGTTATCAACCTACTTAGATATTTTTCAAAAGAAGACATACAAAGACATACAAATGGCCAATAGGTATATAAATATATAAATATATATACCCATCATCACTAATTATTGGGGAAATGAAAATCAAAACCACAATGAAATATCACCTCACCCCAGGTGAACAGGTTATTATAAAAAAGACAACAATAACAAATGCTGGTGAGGATATGGAGGAAGTGTAACTCTTGTGTGATTATAACTATTTATGTCTAACTATAAAAATTGTTAATTTTTAAAATAAATTATATTAGGCATTTTCTTATTAAATCACATTAGAATACCTAGTGAATCACTAAAAAAAAAGTCCCTTCTGACATGCAAACAAATGATATAGTGTATCAAAGGATGGACCACTGGAATACAATGCCAGAATTCTAGATATTTTAGCAATTGAATAAAATTATTAGCTATAATTTACACATCTATACCAATATGACTTTAATATTTATTTTACAATATTGGAGTAAATAATGATGGACAAAATATGTTAATTAAAGTTGATTTCCATCATTAGCTATTGTGAATAGCATTACTTTGAATATTCATATACGTGTATTTGTTTGAATACCTGTTTTTAATTATTTTGAGTATATACCTAGGAGTGGGATTGCAGAGTCATATTGTAACTCTATATGAATATATAGAACTCTACCACGGTTGATTGAATACACGGATGTGAACCCACAAATAGGGAAGGCTGATTGTGCTGATATATTCAACAAAATGGGTGAACCTTGAAAACATTATGCTAAGTCAAAGAGGCCAGTTATAAAGTACCACACATTGTGTCACATATTCCATTTATATGCAAATGTCCAGGTTAGGAAAATCCACAGAGAGGGAAAGTAGATTAGTGCTTGGATAGGACTGGGGAACGATGGTGGAATTGGAGAATAATGACTAAGGGGAAAGGGGTTTCTTTGGGTAATGAAAATATTATAAAATTGATTTTGTAAAAGTTGCACAACTCTATGAATATACTAAAAGCTATTGAATTGTACACTACAAATAGATGAATCGTATGGTATGTGAGTTATATCTCAATAAAGCTGTTTTAAACATTAATACTAAACATTTTTTAAAGCCAACTGTTCCTTGAAAGGAGCACTATTAACTGCTTTTGAAATTTCATAGAATAAAAAAATACAAAAATACAAATAAAGACAATAAAGATATTTAAAGATTTAAAAAATGAAGTATTACAATTACTTCAAATATAGAGTGTACTACATTAGGTTGGTTTGACAGAGTAGCATCTTCCTGGGTTGTACATTTTTATGAGCTGATTTCTCTTTTGTTAAATTGAAAAATACTTATTGGTACCGTGTGGGGTACACTGTGGGGTACAGTGTTAAATATCAATATCTGTATGCAATATGTGATACTCAAACCAGGATAAATAGGATATTCAACATTACACAATGTTATAATTTTTTCATGTCCTTTTATCACTTTGTCGCTAACTCCCCTCCCCATCCCCCTTTCCCAACGTAGGTGGCTCGTATCAGTTCCGTTTTCTCATTTGAATGCTCAACGAATTATTATGATTGTTGTACGTTTCTTTCTTTCTTTCTTTTTTTTTTGTGTGTTATTTATTTTTTGAGCTCCTACTTTTAGGTGAGTACATGTGGTATTTCTCTTTCTGTGCCTGGCTTATTATTCCACTATATTTCTTTGAATAAAAATAATCAAGATTTGGAGGGAAAGATGGACCTTGATTGAATATAAAAATTGTATAATAGCTTATGTTTCATACAAATGTTTCTCAATACTTAGCATTATTTTGTCCTTTTTGGCTAAATACTTGGCCATTTGTATTGCTTTGGAAATTTAAATTTTTGATAATGTTTATATGTTTCTACTAACAGAAATCTGTGGCAAATGGGACAAAAAATAAACATTATTTTTCTTTCATGGTACTAAACGTAATTATATATTGTTGATTATAGATTCATTACAATATCAACAAGGTGACTACTATCTAAACATCATAAAATAGTTCATAAAAACAGTAATTAAAATATTAATGAAAGTAAACAATCTACACCTAAACATATTTTAGAATTTAAAAAGTAAAAATTAGCAAGAAATTGAAGTTTGAAGAAACAAAAATATATACTTCCTGCATAGTACCATAGTTAAACAAATTAGTAAATGAGTTATCTTTACTTGAATTCAAAGTACTACTTGGAGGATAGATTTTATTAAAGTTATTAATTTGTTATTTTTTATGTGTCCACCTATAGGGAATTCGAGTCAGTACTAAAGGCATGTAATCTGCTGCAAATAATACACTACATAAATTCATAATGTATTTCAGGCTGCAATTTCAATACATTGA